CCCTCTTTAGTTCATGTCCACGTGTCATAAGTTCTCTGGCCTCTACATTTCCCATACTATTCTTTCCCTCCCCCTATTTTCTACCTACCATCTATCTACTTATTCTCTGTACCTTTTCCCCCTCTCTTCTCCTCCCACTCCCTTGTTGCTAACCCTCTGCGTGATCTCCATTTCTGTGGTTCTGTTCCTGTTATAGTTGTTTGCTTAGTTTGTTTTTGTTTTAGGTGTGGTTGTTAATAATTGTGAGTTTGAGTCATCTTACTATACATGTTTTTTTTCTTCTTTTTCTTCTTTTTCTTAGATAAGTCCCTTTAACATTTCATAAAATAAGGGCTTGGTGATGATGAACTCCTTTAACTTGACCTTATGTGAGAAGCACTTTATCTGCCCCTCCATTCTAAATGAAAGCTTTGCTGGATAGAGCAATCTCGGACGTAGGTCCTTGCCTTTCATGACTTGGAAGACTTCTTTCCAGCCCCTTCTTGCCTGCAAGGTCTCTTTTGAGAAATCAGCTGACAGTCTGATGGGACCTCCTTTGTAGGTTGCTGTCTCCTTATCTCTTGCTGCTTCTAGGATTCTCTCTTTCATTTTTACCTTGGCTAATGTAATTATGATGTGCCTTGGTGTGTTCCTCCTTGGGTCCAACTTCCTTGGGACTCTCTGAGCTTCCTGGACTTCCTGGAAGTCCATTTCCTTTACCAGATTGGGGGCGTTCTCCTTTATTATTTGTTCAAATAACTTTTTCACTTGTTGCTCTTCCTCTTCTTCTGGTACTCCTATAATTAGGATGTTGGAACATTTAAAGATGTCCTGGAGGTTCCTAAGCCTCTCCTCATTTTTGAATTCTTCTTTCTTCATTCTTTTCTGTTTGGATGTGTCATTCTTCCTTCTGGTCCACTCCATTGATTTGAGTCCCAGTTTCCTTCCCATCACTATTGGTTCCCTGTATATTTTCTTTTTATTTCACTTAGCATAGCCTTCATTTGTTCATCTAATTTGCAACCAAAATCAACCAATTCTGTGAGCATCCTGATCACCAGTGCTTTGAACTCTACATCTGACAGGTTGGCTATCTCTGTGTCGCTTAGTTGCATGTGTTCTGAAGCTTCAATATGTTCTTTCATTAGAGCCTTTTTTGTTTGTTTGTTTGTTTGTTTGTTTGTTTGTTTGGTCTTGATGCACGTGTTATGTAGTGAGGCATTCACCTATTTTTATAAGTGTTTATTGATTGTCTCCTTTCTGCCAGGCACTGGGCTAAGTACGAGGGACAGAAAAATGAACATGGCAAAAACCATCACTGTCCTTCTAAAATTTACCCCTTTAGCCAACAGAAATTCTATCCTTGCTCAATATCCTGTTCAACCACATCTGTCATGAAGCCTTACCCGACGCCATGCCACACTTGAGTTCCTTCTCCAATGAAGCTTCTGTAGGCACCCTCCATTAGGCCTATCATACAAGATTTGTAGGAATGTCTTGATCACACTTGGCCACTATTCATTTGAGACTTTTATGGTTGAGTTCTTTTTTTCTTCTTTTTTTACATTATATTTTATTGATTGTGTTATTACAGTTGTTCTGATTTTTTCCCCTTTTCCCCCCTCACCCAGCACCCTCAACTCCCTCAGGCAATTCCCCCACCATTGTTCATGTCCATTCATCACATGTATAAGTTCTTTGGCTACTCTATTGCCTATACTGTACTGGGCATCCCCATGACTATTCTCTAACTGCATGTTTGTACTTCGTAATCCCCTCACGTCCTCACCCATTCTCCCCTACCTTCCTCCCATCTGGTAACCATCAAAATGCTCTCCATATCCATCATTCTGTCTCTGTTCTTCTTGTTTGCTTGATTTGTTGTTTAGATCCAATTGTTGACAGGTATATATTTTTTTGCCACTTTCTTGTTCCTAGTTTTTATCTTATTTTCTCTTAGATAAGTCTCTTGAACATCTCATATAATATTGGTTTGGTGATGATAAACTCCTTTAGAATTCTATTGTGTGGGTAGCTCTTTATCTGCCCTTCTGTTCTAAATGATAGCTTGTCTAGGTAAAGCAGCCTTGACTCCTGACCCCTTCTTTTCAGGACTTTGAATATTTTGTGCCAACCCCTCTTAGCCTACACAGTTTCTTTAGAGAAATCACCTGACAGTCTTATGTGACCTCCCTTGTGGGTAACTAGCTTCTTGATTCTTGCCACTTTAACGATTCTTTAACTTTTGGCATTTTAATTATGCTGTGTCTTGGAGTGGGCCACTTTGTATCCATTTTGCTTATGACTCTGTGCTTCCTGGACTTGTGTGTCTATTTCCTTCACCAAATTAGGGAAGTTTTCTTTCACTATATTTTCAAATAGATTTCCAATTTCTTGCTGTATCTCTTCTCTTTCTGGCACTCCTATGATGCAAATGTTGGACCTGTTGAAGTTGTCCCAGAGGCTATTTGCAGTAACTTCATTTTTTTTTGCGTTATTTTTTTCTTCTTGTTGTCCTGATTGTTTTTTTTTCCCTTCCTTATGCTCCACATGATTGAATTAATTGTTGGCTTCATCTACTCTACTGTTGTTTCCATGTAAATTGTTCTTTATTTCAATCCACCCATTTCTGACTGGATCTTGTTTATGCAGTTGAGGTCCTCACTAAGTTCCATGAGCACCCTGATAACCAGTGTTCTGAACTCTGCAACTGATACGTTGTTTATCTCCATTTCCCTGAGCTGTATTTCTGGAGTTTTGATCGGTTCTTTCATTGGGGCTGTGTTTCTTTGCCTCCTCATTTGGCAGCCTCCCTGTGTGTCTTTCTGTGTATTAGGAAGAGTTGCTTTGACTCTGTGTCTTGGTAGCGTGGACTAATGAAGTACGTGTCCTGTAGGGTCCAGTGGCACAGCCTCCCCATCACCCAAGCTGGGTACTTGAGGTGCACCCTTCACGTGGGCTGGTGTTGAGCCTTGGTTGCTCTTGGCAGAACAATGGGAGGGATGTACCCACGCCAGTCAGCTGTAAGACTGGCTGTGACCACAGACCACCAATTTCTGCCCTCTGTGGACGATCGACTGTGCAGGCGCAGGCGATAGTGCTATGACATGGACTGTAGCTGTCTACCAGGTGTGCTGGCTGGAGTTTCCTGAGTGGAGCAGGCCCAGATATCCCCAACCTGTGTTGTTCCAGGGGCTACCCTCCTGAGCTGTAAAGCAATATAATCTGCTACTTGTGCTGGGCTTAGAGATTCCCTGATGAAGCCAAGCTGTGACTCTAATTTGGCTGCCTTTAGGGCTCACTGAAGCCTGCTGTCACTTGTTGGATAGGATTTAGGAGTCAAGACCAGCCATTCTTATGGAAATGCAGCTTATGTGGGTCCATAAGTTGGGTGGAGTACAGCCTCTGTAAATCTCCAAGATGGGTCACACAGTGTTAGCCAGGTTCATGGAGTCTCAGATATTGCCCTAGCCTACTGGCTCTGGTGGGGGAGGGGGTAGCTCAGCAAAGGGACAATGGCCTCTGCTTGCCCTGAAACCAGACACTTCAGTCTCTCCCTGTATACCACTGGTGCCCTTCAACCTGCCAACCCCATGCTGGAACTCAGGATTAAGTCTGAGTGACTCTGAAGGTAGGTTCTTTAAGGGGGACTGCTTGGGTCTCCAGAAGTTTCTCCCACCATTCTCCCCTTGTTTTTGCAGCCAGAAGTTGTGAGGACTTATGTTCCTGGCACTGGAATCCTGGGCCGGGGTCCTGGTGTGGTTCTGGGACTCCTGGCTCCCGACATATCCATTCCAAATATTTATCCACCACACATGGGTGTGTGACCAGCCTGTCCCACAACTTTGCACCTCCTACCAGTCTGGATGGTTGTGGTTTCTCTATTTCCATGGTTGTCAGACTTTGACTCAACTCCATTTCTGACAGTTCTGAGTGATGGTTGTTCTAAAATTTAGTTGTTTTCTTAATGTGGTTGTGCAAAAAGGCCAGCCATGTCTGCCTATGCCACCATCTTGACCTGAAGTCCACAAATGAGTTCTGAAATCCTGTTATTTTTTGTTCTTAGGTTTTAATCATTAGCCATTATTATGGTTACATCTGTTGTGTCCTTCCAGATAGAAGAAAAAAAAAGAATTCTTCTGCTCTATCATAGAAATTGCCTGCTTTGCAGACTGTGCTTTGAGTTGGTAATTTTTGCTTTCGAGTTGATTATCTTTTTCCTTAGGCTTGTCAGCACTTATAAACTCTACTATCCCAGACCTTTTTCTTCAAGTCTCCAGGTCTTTCACACTATTGTGTGGTAGAAACCTCCTGGAACCTAAACATTTGACTTCACTGATCTTTTTATTCTAGTTAAAACAAGAGGTGACTCAGTCAGCTATTTGAACATCCACTGCTGATCACAGCCTGAAAGAATGTGCCGAAGATATCTGTTGTTTCTCCCATTTCTGCCTTTGTCTCCTATATGGTCTCATAACCAGCACTGGATCTCCTTCTTCTATTTCCCCAAGCAACAGTTGCTTCAAAAGAGTCCTTTCCCTATCTGGGTGACAGTTGCATCTTGAACCAATTGCTGAAACAGATTCCTATGCTGACTTTAAGCACAAAATAAATTTATTTACCCATGGTTCTAGAGTCAATGGAGAGACTGGAAAACCCAGACTCAGAACTGGGCAGGAGGAGATTGGCCACCTGATACCATGAAATTAGTTCAGTAAACTCATGTTGCTGCCAACAGAAGGAATGCATGACACAATGGTACGATGAAAAGGCCCCAGTCCTCAGATAACCTCTCAGATCTCCACTGGCATACTTTCTGTGCACTCACTAAACACAACATCTGCCCTGGCTGGCCTCTCTATCCTTTTTTCTCACTGTCAGGGGAGGAGCCCATCTTGGCACTGTCACTGGCCTGTGCCTTCACCTCACCTGAGCAGGGGCTCGAAGCCCAGCCATTCCCAAAACTATATCTAGCTGTCTCCCCAAGTAGTCTGCACCAGGACCTGGGGAAGTCCAGTAGCTTCCACCCAGACACAATGAGCACAATGCTGCCTGTCCTGCTGTCCCTACTGCTTCTTGTGGGTCTTGCAAACACCCAAGATGGTAAGTTGGGAACCAAAGGCTGGGTATCAAACAGAATGGAGGGGAGGTAATGAACAGGATAGACGGTGCTGGGAAAGGGCACAGGATGAAGCCGAGTTTCCCAGACTACAGTAGGAATGGCTGTTCGACGCTGTCAGCTATCTTGGCTCACACACTTCCAGGAGTACTGAGCCACTGGACTCTTGCTATGTAAGACCTTAAATAATTAGAATCTAAAATGTTAGTAGACAAATTAACAAAATTCAGTCCCAGATGCTCTGGCCAGATAGCCCTAGCCCAATATGCCAAGGCTGAGGGTTTCATCTCCAGTCAGGGCACACACAAAAGTCAACCAATGTATGTGTGATTATTAGAATAGCAAATCTCTCTTTCTCTCTCAGATCAAAAAATTAAAAGTTAAAAAAAAAACTAAGACCCGAACAGATAAAGTGACCTGACCTGTGTCACAGCCAGGAGAGAGCAGAGGCCACACAGGTGGAATTTCTCTTCTTCCCTCCCTCCAATGGCTGGGCATGCCTGTCTAACTCTCAGGGAGAAAGACAGGACCCCAAAGAGCACTTACTTGTAAAGGCATGTAAGCTGGAGGACGCTTCTAGAAACAAAGCCATTCCTCACTCCACAGTTAGTCACTACAACAGTGGGCCTGGAAGGCTAGAGACTGGGAAAGAAGCCAGATGGAGGTCAGGCAGAACTAGGGTTAACTTTAGGACAGAGTAGTGAGGCTTTTCTTGGCCTACAAAATTTCAGGATGATATAAGCTAAATGGTACAAGTTTAGAATTTATTGCATTCACAAGCTGTCAGAATATATCTTTTATGACAATTGATCCTACTTAGATTATCAATCACATCCTATACCAAAATGTAATTTAGTCAGGGTTCTTTAGAGAAATGCAATGAATGCTACATATGTGCACAGAAAGAGAGATTTCTTTCAAGCTTATGGCTCACAGCACTGTGGGGGCTGCAAGTCTGAAATCTGCAGGGCTGGTCAGCACAGTGGAGATGTGGAGATTTGGTGTTTAGTCTTGGGTCCAAAGGCAGTCTGGAGGCAGAATTTCTTCTTGTCTCTTGTGGCCTTCAACTGATTACAGTAGGCCCACCCACACTATGGAGTATAATCTGCTTCACTTGGTGCTTACTAAAGAAATCTTAATAGCTATTAGAAACTAATTAGTGAAAATAACTTCAGTCCTAGAAAGAAGAATCTGCCATGTGACCTCCACTAAATTAGTAACACCCATGAGAGGGTTACTAATTCATGAATGATATCAAGAATTCGTTATTGAGTTAATTATGGAGTCCCCCCACCCCTCTCTCTGTCCCTGCCTCATACCAAAGTGCAGGAACAGCCCAGGCAATTCTGAGGTCCATTCTGGCCTTGCCTTCTGCTGATCCATTCTAGGACATTTCCTGAGGCTTCTAGTCAATTCTCCTTCCTACACTTTCTAACTGTATGTATTTGTCAGGTTCAACTAGGTAATGTTCCAGTGACAAGGACACTTTTTTGTGGCTTCACTCAAAAAATGTTCATTTCTTGCTCATGTAAAGATGAATACACATCAGTCAACTTGGTGTGCTCCCAGGGATGACTCAAGGATTTAGGTGGTTTGTACTTTGGGACCCTCCTCTTCATCCTCTGGCCTCCACAGTCATCACCTAAATGAAGAGAGACAAAGGGTTCAAACCAGCTTGCAGGCCTCTGACCAGAAGTAAGACATCACTTTCCCTCACATTCCCTTTTGACAGAACTCAGTCATGGTCCCAATACACCTACAAGAAGACTGAGAAATATTATCTCTGATGGGCTAAGAATCAAACCAGTGTAGTGAAAACACAACGTGGTCTCTGAAATATCATCCCCAGAATAGAAGTAGAGCCCCTTCTCTCACGTGAGCTTCCAAGGGTATGTGGCTGACAACAGCGTGCAGAGAGCTGGGGAGGAGGAAGCCCAGTGACCAGGCCTCCCTTCCTTGTCCTCTGCTGTGCCACTGTGGCATTCCTCTTTGTGGACCCCACATCTGAATCTTTTTTTTTGCAGGACGTTACTCTCTGAGGTTCCACTATACTGGGGTGTCCAGGCCCAAGGCAGAAGTCTCCCATTTTCAAGCCACTGGCTACCTCAATGATCTAGCCTTCCTCCACTATGATAGTAATGGTCAAGTGGCTAAGCCCTTGGGCCCATGGACACAGGTGAAAGGAATGATGGACTGGGAGAAGGAAACTCAGTTGCAGAAGGCCAGGGAGGACACCTTCATGGAGACCCTGAAAGACATCATGAACTATTACCAGGATGGAGGTCAGTGAACAATCGACTGCTGGGGTGGAGGGTCTTAGCTAAAGAGACACTGCATTTTGTAGCAGAAAGGAATCTACAGGATGGAAATACCCCTTACCTAAAAGTGGGGGGAACAAGTGCAGATACACAGACACTTCTGCACTCTTTGTCCCCACATCAGCCACCCCTGCCCCTTCCCCATCTCGTCCCCAATCCTCACTTTCAGGCCTCAACTCTCACAGGAGGTGAAGTCAGTTTCAGCCCTTTCCTAGGCACATCTGACCTCTTAGTGCCACATCCTGGCCTCTGAGGTAGATTCCACTTTCTAACTCACCCCCATGCAGGGATGCTGGGTGGGGAGGGAGCTAACCTTAGGGTGATTCTCACCAGGAATCAAGTGCTGACTCCGCCATTCACTAGCTGTTTGACAGTGAACAAGTTCTTAATTATCTATCTGCTGTGAAAATTTAAGAGAAAACAAAAACCTGAATCATTGATTCCTGCCTCCAAGAGGTGAATTCCATGAAGGCTAGAACACACATTGTTTTCATCTACCCTGGAGCCCCATCACCTAAGAAAGCCAATGATAGTTGCTAAAATGAAATGGAGAGCTTGTGTCTTCCTTCCAAGCAAATGTCCTTTTCCAAGACTTGCTGCTAATTGGGAAGGGACGTAGACATTAGAGATTTGTTTGAAGATATTACAACCCCACTAAGAGAGACAAACTGAGGAAATTGTGCTGACTCAACTGGAGACACCAACTTTACATACAACTGGAAAAAAGGGAAAGATCACCTACTGTATTGTAAGCTACAAATAATTGCTGTTTAACTTGAAAATGCACTTTGGTGTGTTGGTGTCCATTTCCTAAGACCTCACACTCTAGTGAAACAGAGTTCATTTACAGGGAAGCCGCATGGGGCTAGGAGGTCTGTCCACAGTCCTTAGCTCTCTGAAGTTTCTTGACTGGGAAAAATGTATCTCATCTCAGACTGGCCTAAAGCACCAAAGCATACTCAGTTTCTCTCTCTGCCTGTTCTATGTCTTGCTAAAAACCCATTTGCCAAGATAACAGGAGTTGCATGCTTAGATTTCAAACCCTTCCTTCCTGCTGGGTTGCAAACTGTGTAGGAGTTAGTGCAAACTATTAAGATGGAGTTGGTGGTCGATGCTAGCTGACTCATTCTGTGGGGGTCCTGGTGAATGCAGGGAATCACACTCTTCAAGGAAGGTTCGGTTGTGAGCTTCGGGATAACAACTACTGTGGAGCATTCTGGACATATATTTACGATGGACAGGAATACATCAAGTTCATCACAGAAATCCCAGCCTGGTTCCCTCGGCAAACAAAAGCTGTGTTCACAGAAGTAAAGTGGGAGACAGAAGACTCTTTGCAGCGTCCCAAGGCCTACCTGGAAGAAGAGTGTCCCCAGCTCCTGCGGAATTACCTGCAGTACAACAAGACATTCCTGGACAGTAAAGGTACCCATTGCTCTCTATGTCCTTCTCCCCCACACTGAGCTGAGAAAGACCAAGGTGATACCAGGCTGGGAGCACAGAGGAACGTTTCAGGCAAATCCTCTAGTCATGGCTCTCTATGATATGCCTCCTGGCTTCACTGTGGTGTGTGAAATATCTGCTCAGGAAGGATGAAGATGATTAAGTGTGAGCAGGATTGATTGTCACAGGCTGAGACTTTAGTGACAAGTAATGAGAAAGAGGGTCCTGTGGAGGGAGGAGGGAAGGGTCCCAATGGCAGAGCAGCAGACAGAAAAAAAGAGTGGGACTCAGACAGTGGGTGACAGGCACCACAAAGCACACAGTTTCTTTGCATCAGAAGTCACTACACAGTGGTTGGAAATGGGGGCTGCTGGGAGGCAAGAAAGTGGCCAGGGACATCCCATTGTCCCACAGGGGAAGCTCATGGAAAGCCTCAGCTTCCCTGATCTTCTTGAAGTTTCCTTGAGGAGGCACTGAGCAGGGAAACGTCCCCTTCAGACCCTCACTCCAAGCTGTATCTTTCCACACATGCTCCCTCTGTGTCATTCACCAGCCAGGAGGGCCCAGAAAACATCAGGACCCTCAAGTTCCTGGCCTACAACTTCTGCCCAGGACCAATCAGTATGTACTGGACTCAAACAGGCAACACAGTGGAGACTGATGAATGGGGAGACATCGTTCCCGGTGAAGATGGCACTTACCACTCCTGGGTGACGGTGAAAGTCCCCTCTTCAGACACAGGCCCCTACTTCTGCCACGTGCAGCATAGCATCCTGGCCCAGACCCTCACTGTCCTATGGAATGAAAGGCACGAATCACAGGCTGCAGGCACTTCCTAGTCTGGAGACCAGTAACCACCTGTGTGTCCTTTGGGAAAGGAGAGAGTTGAGCTGGAGAATGGTTTTCATACCATCAGTGCATCCCAGAGAAGAGGTGAAAGGGACAGACAGGTGGTGAATTTGGAGACACAAGGCTTGAATGCTGGGCACTGGGCTGCCTCACTGCTACATTCCCCCTCAGAACCCATTATCTAGTCTCTGAAATTGTATCAGCACTAATCTACACTAATCAATAGCCTGGACACGAATAAATCAGATTGTTCAACTGTTAAATGCTGTAGAAACTTCAGCAGAGGTTGTCATTCATCCTGCCCCCAAGCATTTGAATCATCTGAAATTCTTGGTATCCCCTGGAAGCAGTGTGTCCTGGCCATCTTGACCAGGGGTCCCCAACCTAGTGTGGCCTGACCACCAGGTACCTTGAGCACTGTTCAGGTGCTCACTGCTGAGGTCCCTTCTGCTTCGAAGGTCACACAACTCTGCAACCTTCTTAATACAATCTGAAATTTACTCTCCACCTCAGATTTCCCGGTTTTTGCTTGCCACCCTGTGAGACTCCCTTCCACTCCACATACCCCAGCAATCCTACACCACCGTGACCTTGGGGTCATAGGCAACCTCAGCTTATCTGGAAGGTTTCATTCCTCCAGGACGCACTCTCAGGGGAGTAAGAACCACTCTGATGTTCTTCGACTTCTTCAAAATAATTTTGAGTGTGTGTGTGTATGTGTGTGTAACTGAGTCACCTACTAACATGCACAGATCTATGCCAAAAGAAAACTGAACTAACAAAACAAAAACCAAAATAAGAAAACCAGAGCGAACTCATAGATGTGACCCCATTTTTCAGCCTTGGTGCCACAAATTATCTTATCAATTCCTCCATCTCTTAGGACTATCTTTCCTCCTTGGAGGATTCTTCTGGGGATAGTTTACCAGCTAGACTGCAGGAATAAAGTACTCTGAATCAAGTAGGGAACACTAATAGATATAGGACTTAAAAGTATTCTTTACCAATGCCTTTTTCATTTTGATGAACACTGCCTTTTTTTATTTTAGTTGTTGTTTAAGTACAGTTTTCTGCCTTTTACTCCCATTCCTGCCCCGCCCCAGCCCTCCCCACCTCCCTCACATTTTCACCACCACCCCCCACCTTGTTTTTGTTCATGTGGCCTTTATACTTGTTCCTGCAAACCCTTCCCCTTTTCCCCTGAAATTTCCTTCCTCTCCCCTCTGGTCACTGTCAGCCTGTTCTCTATTTCAGTGTCTTTGGTTATATTTTGCTTGTTTCTTTGTTTTGTTGATAAGGTTCCTGTTAAATGTGAGATCATATGGTATTTGTCTTTCACTGCCTGGCTTATTTCACTTAGCATAGTACTTTCCAGTTCCATCCAAGCTGTCACAAAGGGTAGGAGCTCCTTCTTTCTTTCTGCTGCATAGAATTCCACTGTGTAAATTCATTCATTTACTGATGGGCACCTAGGTTGCTCCCAACACTTGGCTATTGTAAATTGTGCTGCTATGAACATAGGTTCTTTTGGATTGGTGTTTTCTGAGTAAATGCTTGATATGTTTTCAATTTTCTTGAATTTGTTGAGTCTTGATTTGTGTCCTATCATGTGGCCTCTCTTTGAAAATGTTCCATGTGCATTTGAAAAGAATATGTATTTTGCTTTCTTTTGGATGAAGGGGTCTATATATATTGGTTAAGTCCATTTCATCTAGGGCATTTTTCAATGCCACAATATCTTTGTTGATATTTTGTTTGGAAAATCTGTTCATTTTTAACTGTGGAGTATTGAAATCCCCTACTATAATTGTGTTGCTGTCAATATCTTTCTTGAAGTCCTCTAAGATTTTCTTTATGTATTTGTGTGCTCCTATGTTGGGTGCATAAACATTTACAATGTTTATGTCTTCTTGATTGATTCTTTACTTGAGTATTATGAAGTGACCTTCTGGGTCTCTCTTTTTTTTAAGATTTTATTTATTTATTTTTAGAGAGGAAAGGGAGGGAGATAGAGAGAGAGAGAGAGAAACATCAATGTGCAGTTGCTGGGGGTAATGGCCTGCAACCCAGGCATGTACCCTGGCTGGGAATCAAACCTGCAACACTTTGGTTCACAGCCCACGCTCAATCCACTGAGCTATGCCAGCCAGGGCTTGGGTCTCTCTTTATGGTCCTTTTTTTGAAGTCTATTTTGTCTGATATGAGTATTGCTACCCTGGCTTTTTTTTTCCTGTCTGTTTGCTTGGCAAATTTGTTTCCAGCCCTTCACTTTCAGTCTGTGTAGGTCTTTTGTTCTGAGGTGGGTCTCCTGTAGGCAGCATATGTGTGGGTCATGTTTACTTATCCATTCAGCTATTCTGTGTCTTTTGATTGGAACATTTAATCCAATTACATTTAAGATTATTATTGACAGGTACTTATTCATTTCCATTTTGATACCTGTGTTCCTCTCTCTCTCTTTTCCTTCCTTTCCTTAAAGCAGTTCCTTTAGCTTGTCTTGCAGAGCTGGTTTGGAGGAGGTGTATTCTTTTAGACTTCTTTTGTCTGGGAAGCTCCTTATTTGGCCCTCTATCTTGACTGAGAGCATTACTGGGTAAAGTAGCCTTGGTTGCAAGCCTCTGGTTCTCATTACTTGGATTATTCCTTGCCATTCTCTTCTGGCTTGGAGTGTTTCCATTGAGAAGTCAGCTGTTAGCCTTATTGGGGCTCCCTTGTATGTTACTTCTTGTTTCTCCCTTGTTGCCTTTAAGATTCTCTCTTTGTCTTGGAATTCTGCCATTTTAATTGTGATGTGTCTTGAAATGGGCCTCTTTGGGTTCCTCTTGATTGGGACTCTGTGTTTCCTGGATTTGTGTGACTTTTTCTCTCATCAAATTAGGGAAGTTTTCCATCATTACTTTTTCACACAGGTTTTCTATCCCTTGCTCTTCTTCTTCTCCCTCTGGTATCTCTATTATATGGATATTATTAGGTTTCATATTGTCCTGCATTTCTGTTAATCCTTCTTCATTCTTTCTGAGCCTCTTTTCCTTTTCTTGCTCTTTCTGGGTGTTTTCTTCTGCTTTGTCTTCCAGCTCACTCATCCAATCTTCTGCTTCATCAATCCTGTATTTGATTCCTTCTACTGTGAACACTGTTTTTTAGCCTTGTTTTTAGCACTAGTGGGGTAGCTCAGTTGGTTAGAGCATCATCTCCATATGCCAGGGTTGTGGGTTGGACCTCTGGTCAGAGCACATGCAAGAATCAACCAATGAATGCATAGATAAGTGGAACAAGAAATCAGTATTTCTCTCTCTCTCCTTCCTCTTTCTCTCTAAAATCAATAAATGAAAATACTTGGTCTTGTTTCCTGCTAAAACTTGTGCATCATCTAAATAGCTTTATTATTCATCAGACATATTTAGTGTTTTCTCTTTATTTCCTTTGCTCTTTTACTGATGAACTCATTGAAGAATTATATACTGAGTATCTGTTTTATGCTGGAGTTTACCTCAATTCTACTTATTGACATAATCCAAGGCCCAGCTCAAATCTCACCTCCTCCCTTGACCACTGTTATGACCACCAATGCAAACACACACTCTGTTCATGCTGAGACTCTTTCAGATAAAAATATCAGGGAAGTCCTGGCCAGAGTGACTCAGTTGGTTGGAGTACAATCCCATAAATGAGGAGTCACTGGTTCAATTGCCTGTCATGGCACATGCCCAGGTTGTGGGATCAATCCTTGGTTGGGGTGCAGGCAAGAGGCAGCCCATTGATGTCTCTCTCCCTTTCCCTTAATCCCCAACCCTATTATTCCCCTCTCTCTTGAATGGGAATAAAATAATCCTTTAAAAAACATATCAGCAAAGATTTCAAGGAAAAAAATTGAGTAAAGCCAATCTCCATGCTATCTAAGGATGTCACAAGCAATTCCAGACCACCCATCACAAATCCACTCCCTTATTCCTTCCCACATGAAAGGGAAGACAAATAAAATAAAGGAAACCAAACATGGGTAGAGGTGGAAGGAAAAAATAGGAAAGATGCAGAAATCAAATTAGCTGACTTCTGAATCCCAATTCAGACTTTTTTCCTTTGCTCCTTTTTAAAGTTTTGGTGATTGTAACTATCCATGTATTTCTTCAATAAATATTTACTGAAAATCCCTCAGCTATAAGATACTGAGATAGATGTTAATGTAAAAAAGAAATGAGCCCAAAGCATATCATTTCACACAGTGATAAGGTCACAAAGGGGTTTTGCAGTCCAACTGGGGAGATTTTTGAATAATGCTCTATGGTTCTGATATTGATTCTTAGTGTGACAGTTGAAGGCTTTTTTAAAACATCCTCATCTGAAGACACACTTACTGATTTTAGAGAGAGAAGAAGGTAGCAGGGGAGAGAGAGAGAGGAAACAAACATCCATGTGAGAGAGGAGCATGGATCGGTTGGGCCCCTATGCGTTTGCCTGCTCCAAGGATCAAACCCACTCCTAGGTATGTGCCCTGACAAGGGAGAGAACCTGCAAACTTTTGGTACTCACGATGACACTCCAACCTACTGAGCTACCTGCACAGGGCTACAGTGAAAGGCTTTTTGACTGTAGGGTGGCATGATCAGAACTGTGCTTCAGGATTGTTAACCAGATATTAAGGAGAACAGTGGATTGCAAGAGGAGCAGAGAAACTAGCTGCAGAAAGCGGCCCTTGTGGTCTAACAGCAAAGGTACAGCTGCTGGACTCCCCTGGGCAGGGTCTCCTCCAGCCTGAGTGCCAGGAAATCCTGTGGCTCCCATAGAATCTGCTGAAGCCGAGATGGCTACATTACTATCCCTGACAGCAGGACAGCTTGGGGAAGTGGCAGTGCTTTCTATTTGGGAGGTTAATAACTGCCATGGATCATTCTACAACTGAAAGCCTGCAGAGAATGGAAAGAACTCCCCATGGCCCAAACTCTTCCCTAAAGCCAGGTTGGCAGAGCTGCCTTCTGCCCCTCCTGCCCCT